GAGATTCCTCACGAAACGCATAATAGGGTTCGACCAACAAGTGGAATATGTTGACAGGTGTGTACGTCTGAAATTAGAGCCTCTGTGGTTAAGGAGAGTGAAGTGCAACCTATTTCTACTCTTCAAAGTCATTAGGAAACACTGCTACAGTAACTCATCCATAACGTGGGAAAATATTAAATCATATCAGCTGCGAAACCACGACTACCTTGTCAAGGTGGCTACCCACAGAAAATCCATTAGGGCAAATTTTTCACCATAAAATATTGCACTCTTTGGAACCAACTACCACCTGAAATAAGATGTTGTGAAAACCCTGATGGGTTCAAACGGAGCCTAGAAAGACACTTTAACATGTCCACCCTAGCTCGTCTAAAAGACCACAACTGTTGGTAGAACGGAAATTGAAGGCCAGTCCAGTCTTCAGTATAGTCACATACGTATATCTCGACTCTAATACTCACGCAGCGAACGTTAACTAATTTACTGATTTCTATTCTCTATAATTTTCACTAAGTTGTGTTGGTAAAAGTAACACTGGAAATAATTGTAATAGCATCCACACCTTTTAACGTTTTACATATGTATATACTAATATAATAATACTTATTAATCATGCATGTTCAATTCTTAAATTAGATGGTTAATTAAATACTTAAAATTTAAAATATTAATGCATCAAATGTTCTCTTGCTTTACCACGCTTGTTTCCCTTATAACACTCAATTATTGAACCTAGTGTATTATTTGATATACGAACTATATTATTGATTATACTCTTATCATATATGGTTTGATTTACTCTACGGCTCCCTGTAGACTAACTACCATTCTTCAGTATACACACACTGCAGTATTGTTAAAAAATGCCAAAATTTCGTTGGTTCTGTGTTAATATCTTTTTATAATATGTCTAGACACGTTACTTTGCAATGTCAGATGTTTACTATATATAAGTACACTAAGTCCTGCCAACCGACCTTACCTTCAGTCCATACTACCTAAATTGAACCTTAACTATAGTGTTCTGCTAAATCTTGCTCCACTATTCACAATACCTATTCGTTTTACTCTTTAAGTTTTTAACTTCTTATAAAGTAATCTGTTCATCAGGATGCATGCACACATATATAATATGTTCGTAAAGATGTACGTGGAGACCTATTGGAAGCACTCATTAAGAAAGCTAGGGAGATGGAATATGGGGTACGAACATGTCTGGTACCAAGCAATATATTTGCGGTAGCCATAATAATCATAGTCTCAGAGCCTAACATCAAAAAAGGAGGGAGGGTGGTGCTAGCTGATCAGTAGATATGGTGGTGGTCACTAAGGTGAATCGCCCCATTCTGCAGGAACAGCAATATGCAATTTAAAGGCTCGAGATATTTCTGATTTTTATGAGGGCTTAGATCTTTATCTTGAAAAAGATAATAATGAACGCCTTGACAGATCATGCTTCTACCTTTAAATATATACCATTCGCTCAGCCTATTGTTGAGATGCGACCACGTGGGATCTGCACAGATTTATGGGGCATCTTATAAATTAACTTGCTATCCATTGTCAGATCTTTAAATACCACTTCACAATATCTTGTCTCACTTATTTTCTAATAACGTCTTTACTTGATCCTCATTATATTCCATTAAACCTAACATTTTATAGCTCTTTATGAATTTGATTCGACTTATTCTATTCCTATTCTCTGGAGGGTACGGTTGTGCACCAAATAGAAAAAAGACATGAAATAAAGACAACTGGCTTGAAAATAATTGTATTAAAGCCAAAAGTGGACATCATGATAGTATAAATATATTGGTTTCATTATACATTGCAAATGAACGTTGTCGGCCTAAGGATTAATTACTTCCCCATTCTGTTTTCTATATAAATGTGTTTATTAATGATATATTTCACTCACTTAATCTATTACACTTTAATGTTTCACCTTAGCACTTTAACTTTTCTAAAACAGCTTCCAATCCCTTGTAAACGTTGTACTTACCTCAATATTGGTTGGTTATCGTATGCCTACAACCACGGGATGAAAACGAAACGAAGTCGATTTTCCCGCTCAACCTGGAGGACAACTGTACAATTCAATAACTATACGGCCTGGTTCAGACAATGAGTGTAATTATATATATATATATATATCAAATATTTAACTGTTGAAACATTATTAACTTGTAGACAATTTAAGATTTGACATTATAACATACTTGATCGTGCCTGTAAAAATGGCATGCATTTTCATGTAAATTTATGTTTATATGAAAATAAAAATTATTGATATTATTATGAACTTATGAGCATGTTTGCCAGTATGTTGCATCCCAACTCTAGAATAGGGCAGTCTGAGAATGAAACGCAATCCTTTATGACGAAACAATCTCAAAGAAGTGTTTATCGAGAAAGCTTTATGGTGTCTAGTAATTCATATAGACTTAGTGAGTGTAACAGGTTTCTTTGTGCATTTTCAACAGATGGGTTTCAAGCTGCAAGACAAACACAGTTGTGTTTTAGACGTTTGCAAGAAGTGCATACAAAGTGAACTGTGAATCAGTGAGCAAGTTTAGTGATGAACTAAATGTGAAATCAAGGTCTAACTCCGAACCGTGTGACGGTAATTATGCAGTGAAGAAGCCTATAGTTGCAACTGGTAAGCCATTGTTGAATAGTTTGTCACCAACGACACCACAGTTTGCGCATACTTGATCGTTCCTGTAAAAATGGGATGCATTTTCATGTAAATTTAAGTTTATATGAAAATAAAATTATCATTATTATTATTTGAGTCTTAGCTATCTTTTCCATTACACGTGAATCTAGAGACGTGATATTGATGTGACGGTAGTTTTTGATATCAACCATAGGCGCGTATTTAATGTATAGGTACAATATATTACTTCTTCCAGCAGTTGACAGCAGATTTACACTATCTTTTGCCATTTTCATAATATCGTCAAACTTTGGCTCGATATTTTCCTCCTCTATACGAGAGCTTATCTTCACCCACTTCCTTTGCAGTCAGGTAGGTAATCGTCTCGCTATCACCTCTAGGACGGAACTTGAGTTCTGACCACTCATGCAATTCGTCAAAATCAATGCATTCTTGTAAATCAACAGATTATCTAAATTCTCGGAGAGTGACTTCGAGTCATCTTGTAACTGACTACCATTACCTTTAAAAGCCTCAATTATGTTCCTCAGAAGCATGGAAGTTCTTCCGAATCTTCGACGCATTTTACTCATAGCCTCAGGGTGTCCTTCGTTAGGGGGCATGAACTTACAACACTGTATAGCTCTTGAAGCAACTCCAGTGCAATACTTCATCAAATACATCAACTTCATTTTATCTTTTAATAAAAAACCACTCAAAACACCCTTACTACTCCTAATCGGCGAACCATGAACAACAGACTCATCATGCTGAGCGTCATACAAATCATTACATGTAACAGACAAATCAACGTTACTTACTTTCCTGCTTGCTTCCCAGATGCTTTGTCCCTTCTTTGACCCAGGCATCATTGAACTTGACTGAAAGTTTCGGATAATACTTGTCGGAATAACACTTGCAGGCACCAGGAAAGACGAACAGAAACTATGAGAAAATTATCAGAATCTGTCAGCAAACTTTCGGAAACTGTCAATGTCCAGCTTTTGCTACGCTGGACCTAACGCTGTCCCTCGAAGACTTTCAGAAACAATTTGTAATAACCAAAGCAAAAACCGGAACACTGATTGGCAACTCGAGAATCCCTTATTCTTACGCTAATATGTAACCAACAATACTGTTATTTCACAAGGTCTAAGAATAAATGTTATAACAATAAATCATGATAATACTTCTGATAGCTTTTTATCTTCCGCTGAACAGCGAACGATGAGACGATGACTGATGGATGGATGACTCTTGGGAAAAATATGAAGGGGTTGGGTTTGAGCGAACAACCATGAATTGATCGTTCAATCTTCAAGTACTTTGACAACCATCATCCCTGGTGTTATAAGAAATCTTATACCATTTATCTTTCGCTCATTTTCGCAGCCCATGCAGAAATCTTCAACTGAAATTGCTTCTGCAAGATATATTTGGTTGAACCAGCGGTGCAATATGTATAAATCAGCGTGGAGGCACATATAATTGTGAAAAACAACCAACATGTAATGCCTCCACTGAAAACGTTCTCTTTGGCGGATAAAACCTTCATTTTCACCAGGATTTAGAGGGATTCTTCTCACATTGTAGTGCATTTATTTGCTCATTTCCGTGAGTTAATGGAATCAAAAGGTCCATCGCAGCTGTAACACTCACAGACATTACAACCAAAACCATCGTTAGCCACTCTTGGTGTATTTATGGAAAAACCATCAGTCAAAGGAGCTAAATTCAATGCAATTTTTGTTAAATCTCCTGGACCATTCGGGATCTGACGTACGGCACACAGTTTTCATGTCAAATTCAGTGACAGTATGGCTTCATTGTCATTCAAAGATTCCGATTATGTCTTTTTCTAAAATAATCCAATGGACAGAAGTCTTAGCAACTTTGAGGCTTGGTTTCCGAATAACAATCCATCAGGTAGAAGTTGGGGATCATTCGTAAGACTGAAGGTTTATAGGTCTCACAATTACTGTGATCAAAATGTTGAATGGAATACTTATCAAAGCTCTCATGGTCTAGGTGAGAAATGCAGCATAGTATTCTGAGAGGCATATCCTCTCACTACTATAGGAAAAGCTTGGCCAAGTCTGCAGATAACCAGAAATCTGTCTAAGTAATGGATTTTATCAAAGCATTTCATAAAGTTCTTGATGAAGAATCACAGATTATCTTCTTAATCTACTCCAACAAAAATTGAACAGAGAATATTGCTTCTCTAATTCTGCATTGGCACATTGAACTTATTTTACGCACAATTATGAGTACAGGTGATGTTGACCTTGGCAACGACTTGTGATTTCGAGCACATTTCAGTATTACTGATGCAATGATTACAGGTTATTCTCGCTGATTTTAAATTATTTGGAAGTTAATGTTTTCTCCTTTTGCGTTTTTATTTTAATTTTCATGCCTAAATACGGAGTATATTTGCTAAAATATTCCATACGTCTGAACATAAGTGCCGTGTCAGCGTGTATACTGATAACGAATTTTGTCATAGTTGGGAGATATTAATAAGTATTTTCTCTCAATTAAGCCGACTTTCCATCAGTTCAATGAATTTCAATCTCCTAAAAGAGAATTTAAATCTATCAAATCACTGTCCAGCTAGCATTTTCTTCGGGCGCATTGCAGAATTTTTGGGGCAAAAAACTTCGGGTAAATCTACTCACGTGGGACACTGTCCCGAAGTCTGCCCCAAAAATTCTGCAATGCGCCCTAAGTCTGCCCAAAAATTCTGCAATGCGCCCTAAATCTGCCCCAAAAATTCTGCAATTTGCCCTAAGTCTGCCCCAAAAAGTCTGCAATTTGCCCTAAGTCTGCTCCAAAAAGTCTGCAATGCGCCCTAAGTCTGCCCCAAAAAGTGTTCTTGTGTTCTTGTGTTCTTGGATGAGCAACATTGAAGTAGAGCTGGATTTTGGTTTTTGTTGTGACCAAATCAAAATTTTTCGACCATCAGTATAGTTTCAGGTGACCTTCATTAGTTTCTCATAGATGTGGAGTCACCGGTATTTTTTAGATTTCAAATTCAGATTTATTGGTTGAGGATAGAAGGCCTGGAGCCTATGTTAATCCTTTTCTAGTAAATTTCTGCTGTTGTCCAAACCCTTCTTGAACGAATCAGTTGAGGTTGCAGATACCACTTCTTCTGTGAGTCGGTTTCAAGAGATTGTAACTCGGTGTGAGAACCAATACCCAACAGCTGTATGATTTCTTTTTGGCTTTTGGACTCTCCTGTTATGTCCTCTAAGGTGTTCTGACCCGGTTGGAAGGAAAAAAGAGAATAAGTCAGGTTCGTTGTCGGTGTTTAAAATGTTAAACATTGTGATTAAATCTTCTCTCTGCCTACGGTATAACCTGGAGAAGAGATTTAAACTGTCTAGTCTTTCCTCGTATGATAAGTTGGCCATGCCATGAACCATACGTGTAACCTTCCTTTGAACCCTTTCTAGAATGCATGAGTTCCCTTCTGGACAAAGATTGGTGGCCTGGATGCAGTTTTCCACTCTTGACCTCACCACAGATGTATATAAGGAGGTGAACATATCTCTGGTGATTCTAGTGAAGGCTCTGCGAATCGCACATAAGGAGCTGAAACTACGTGCGGCCACCGCGCAACAGTGTGCTGTAGTTTTTAAATCGTGACTTACTATGACACCTAAATTCAAATGAATCTGAAATGATGGGAGTGTTATCCCCTCTGGCTCATAGGAGCTGATGTTTGCTCGTCTGATGCGCATGGTTGCACATTTTTCTAAATTGATCGGGAGCATCCATTATCTGGACCACTCTGACAATCACTGTCACCCTCTAGCTCTCACTAGATTTCTAGGTCATCTGCGTATGGGACCATATGGGAATCGGTGAGCAGAGATAACTCATTGATATACAAAATAAATAAGAGAGGTCCGAGAAACGTGCCTTGTGGCACTCCACCACGTACTACTGTCCAAGAGGAGAGTTTCGAGTTGATCCTAACCCTTTGCCTCCTATTCCCTGAGCCAGTTTAGTAATCTACCTTTAATACCAAGGCTTTCCAACTTCATGAGTAGTCTTTTGTGAGGTACTTTATCAAAGGCTTTGCTGAGGTCTACGAAGACGACGTCAACGGGCCTTCTGTTGTCCTTTGATCTGACCCAGCTTTCTCTTGCAGTGAGGAGATTTGACAGGCATGAGAGGTTCCTCCGGAAACCATGCTCTGCTCTAGATAACAAGCTACTGTTTTCCAGATATGCCAGGATTCTTTTCTTGATGATTCTTTCCAGTTTTTTGATCAAAGTGTTGGTGAGACTGATAGGGCTGTAATTTGAAGGGCTTTGTGTTGATCCTGCTTTGTGGATGGGGGTTACTATGGCGTCTTTTCAGTCACGCAGTAACACTCCATTCAGGAGAGATAGCTTGAAGATCGTGGTCAAAGGACAGGCTATGTGGGCTGATAGCTTCTTGAGAAGCCTTGGATGAAGATTATCAGGACCCATTGATTTTCCAGCATTTAGTTTCATTAGGCAGTTGAGCACGATGCCTTGGTCGATGTCAACGGAATCTATCCCGTATTCCTCTGACGCATACAGAGCTGATCCTATAGGGAGTGATGACTCCTGATTGAAGACTTGGGAGAAGTAGTCTGCCATTGCTTCTGCTTTTTCTTGATTTTCTCCGATTGTATCATTGTCAATAGTCAGGTTTGGGACACCATTGGATGTTTTATTCTTGAAGTTCATGCAAGAAACATTTTTCTTAGGTTGTGCCTTTGCATTTTGAGCCAGATGTGCTTCGAACTTCATCCTTGATTGGCGGATTTCTGCAATAGCTTTATTTCTAGCGATTTTATATAATTTCCTGGTCTCAGAAGTCTCAAGTGTGGCAAACAGGTTCCAACATTTGTGTTTACGTCTGAGTAACTTACGAATCTCTCGGTTTATCCTTTGGGGGCAATGTTTCCGACCCTCTGGAACGGACCAAGGGATGAAAGGTTCAGTTACTTGGGCGTAAAGTTGTTTAAATTGGTTCCATGCGGCTTCTACTTGGAACTCTGGGTTGATGTACCAGTTTACTGAGTTGGCTGCTGAGACGATTACATTTATATCAGCTTTCCAAACGTTTGGTCGAGCTGGGGTTTTGGCCCTTGCTGCCGTTGCTGTGAACTTCAAAGTAAACCCAGCATGGTCACTTCTTCCTAAAGGAGGAAGATGTTGTATAAGATCCACATCCTCACCGTGGTTTTTTTCCAGAAATATATATATATATATATAATAAATACCAAATAACTCAGAACATTTATTTTACTGGAAAAAGTCTTTATCACTCATATATTTAAATACACTGAATCGTATTTTTGGTACAGCACATAATTCGCATAAGTACTAAAGAAGAAAATCTCACTGATGAATTCTACCTCATCATTCATTCTTTCATACAGACAATGAAAAAAAATACAATCTCCAATAGAAAGGGAAAATCTCATTTACAGACAGAAATCACAAAAGATTGAAGCAGATCAACAGTGTTCATTTCATCACCATCAACAGTTACTCTCATGTATCAGGTAACGGACTGTCCATTTAGAGTCACCTCCGGTGTATTTGTCGTGCACGTATCAGCGGTTGTTTGATTTGGTACAACCAACTTCCATAGGCCATAATCAGTTCCAAAAAAAGTTCGCCATAAACGAAGAGTACCGTACTCACTGCAACTTGCGAATATTTCACCATTAGCCGAAATTTAACACGATGTACTGGACCAAAATGTCCCTTACATGTTTCTAACACTTCACCGGTTTCCAAATCCAGTCGATATATACATATATCATATAACGCTGAAAATTCCATACCTGTACCACAAATACTGTTTGGTATAAAGCTGTTATTATCATTATTATTAAAATTGAGGATAATGTTAGGCTATTGGTGATTTCGTAGTACTTTTTGGACTCTGTGGAACCTTGAGGCATTTTCCAAAGCCTTTCTTAAAGTTTTACGCTGGTTTCCCCTTATATTACCTGTAAGATACCTACTAGTTGTTTGCTTGGAAACATTCAACCACAAGGTGAAGTTAGAATGCTGCACAATAATGTAGAGTCATACGATTCATTTAACATTTCGGATGGTGTTTTTTTTCCAGTTATCTTCATCCAGTTGTTTGTAATCATGGTTATGCATTCCAATATAATTTTATGCATATTCTCTTCTTTCAGGTTGTTTTTTGAGTGATTCACTCCTATACTAGACTTAATGTTCGTTTCTAAAGTTACAGCAGTCCCGGTATGTTTAGAAAACTAAAATAAGATATCCTGAACACTTCGCTGCATAAGCAATACGTAACTAACTGACACGGAGATCAAATTATTCCAGAAAAACCCGCAACTTCTACGGTCTGGATATTTATAACCTACGTTTATTTGTTTGTCTACTTGTCGGCGACCAGTAAACTAAGCGATGTACCATGTCATTACTTGTCATTTCAGGAGTCTGTCACATGGAATCTAGAATGAAGGCTACATATATGGTAGTGTTTATAAACTTTGTTGAGAATATGAATCGGTGTAGTGCAACACTGAAGACATGAATCTTAAGTTTGAACCTCCTGGTTAATTTCCAACGGATATTTTTTGAATTACAAATCTGTCAGAAAGGAAACAAATAAGGTTGGTCAGGATGACTGCGACAAACTACAGATCGATTAAACATGTTGTCACTTGCTCTCACCTTATGTAAGGGAGTGGAATAAAACGGGTAAAATTCAAAGAACAGGTGGAACATGTAGCTAATCAAGTATGTAGGGATTTAAAACTACTAGCTTGATAAATTTATGTTGTGATGTTACACAAATTACTTTGGACTTTCAAATGAATAATCACTATATTCGGTAAAATATCTCAAATTAATTGTATTTACCTTTCATCCTCGTATTTCAAAGTTCTATTTATTCACTTAAGATTGTATACCCTAAAAGGACACTTCTTGTATTCTCTAAAAGCTACATATATATTACTTCCAAATGACTTCTTAAAAGTTGTGTGAGTTTGGAGCATACTTCTTCGTTTTTGTCTGTTCTATTTTGAGTTCAAAGAAGCTCTTTCATATCAACCACCTTTTAGGAAGTCACAAATCATCACATATATGTCAAACTTTAAAAATGATGAGTATTTTAAACGTAAAAACAAGAATTCTTTCATAAAATTTACCCTGTGATGGGAAATCTGTGAAACCAAATGTTACCAGATAACACTTTCATATGAACGACATAATAACTCAGAAGCTAAAGATTAGATGTCACATAATATGCAGATAGCTTAGTTTTTATTCGCCTGTTTTTAACTCGACAACAGCAACATTCA